GATTAGGATATTCTATTATTCAGTAACAGACAGGTCGGCTGTATTCTGGAAGATGGCAAGATTACGATATTCTATTATTCACTAACAGACAGGTTGGGCTGTATTCTGGGAGGATAGCGAGATTATGACATTCTATTATTCACTAACAGACAGGTCGGGCTGTATTCTGGGAGGATAGCGAGATTACGACATTCTGTTATTCACTAACAGACAGGTTGGGCTGTATTCTGGGAGTATGGCGAGATAACGACATTCTATTATTCACTAACAGACAGGTCGGGCTGTATTTTGGGAGGATGGCGAGATTACGACATTCTATTATTCACTAACAGACAGGTCGGGCTGTATTCTGGGAGGATGGCGAGATTACGATATTCTATTATTCACTAACAGACAGGTCGGCTGTATTCTGGGAGGATGGCGAGATTACGACATTCTATTATTCACTAACAGACAGGTCGGCTGTATTCTGGGAGAATGGCGAGATTAGGATATTCTATTATTCACTAACAGACAGGTCGGGCTGTATTCTGGGAGGATAGCGAGATTACGACATTCTATTATTCACTAACAGACAGGTCGGGCTGTATTCTGGGAGGATGGCGAGATTAGGATATTCTATTATTCACTAACAGACAGGTCGGGCTGTATTCTGGGAGGATGGCGAGATTACGACATTCTATTATTCACTAACAGACAGGTCGGCTGTATTCTGGGAGGATGGCGAGATTAATAAACCAGAACAGGCAAGTCGATAGTTTCCAAGTATTTCCGGAGAGCTACATATAATTAGGTTTATTCAGAACGGGAATTTCTGATATTTTCTAGTAGATTGGGTTGGTGGCAGACTGAAAGGTTTTTATTTCACTGTATTATTGTTACTTTGACGGTGAGATGTTTTAGGAGTCTGTAAATCACAAGGTCCATGGTCACCGTCAGATATTGGTCATTAAAGACCTGGCTCCATTTGCGTGAAGGACACTTACTTGGTGGTTCCCGGATAGAGCAAGATTAATGATAGCTTTGGATATAACATGGCATTTATGTCACAGAGAAGGACATGAAACAGCGCAAACCATTGGGATGGAACTAAATGGAGGTAAATGTATCGCCAAGCTGCTCATTGTAAAACCATGGATGAGAGAGGCCGAATTCTACCCAAAAGTTAAACCTTCCAAAATTTTAACACACAGAAGAGTTTTGAAGAACTCCACCAATGAGGCACCAATAATGGAACCACTTGTATCCCTAAGCCTGGTCTGAAAGTAAAGCCCAAGAGGGCAGGTCTTGATTTTGTGGAAAGGGCAAACAAAAATGCTGGGGTTCTGCAGCTCGAGGATAATCACAACAAGTTTCAGCACAAACATCACTGAGAGGGGTCTTTCTCACCTGAGAACATCCTTGTTAGAGCTTTGTTCTGGCGCCGAGCGCTACAGACAAGCAGCAGCCATGGAGGCAAGAGCTGGAGGTTATTGACAAGAAGCTCTGCAATTGAAAAGCTTGATTCAGCAAGGAATCCATCTGACTGACAGCAGCAACACATTTCATCAAGAGAGTCAACAATGAGCAATATGTTCTGTGAGGGGGGAGGCACAGCCATGAGGGGCCCGACAACCATCCTGCAAAATAAGAGAAGCTGATTAGGGAGAAAATAGAGAAAACATCATTGGATACAGAACTAACAAAACAGGAACCTCACAGGTAGTCATTCAAAAAACAACCTGTAACTCACACAGCACCTACCACTGGTAGGTGACCCACCACCAAACACACAGCACCTACCACTGGCATGAGACCCACCACCAAACACACAGCACCTACCACTGGCAGGAGACCCACCACCAAACACACAGCACCCACCACTGGCAGGAGACCCACCACCAAACACACAGCACCTACCACTGGCAGGAGACCCACCACCAAACACACAGCACCTACCACTGGCAGGAGACCCACCACCAAACACACAGCACCTACCACTGGCATGAGACCCACCACCAAACACACAGCACCTACCACTGGCATGAGACCCACCACCAAACACACAGCACCTACCACTGGCATGAGACCCACCACCAAACACACAGCACCTACCACTGGCAGGAGACCCACCACCAAACACACAGCACCTACCACTGGCAGGAGACCCACCACCAAACACACAGCACCTACCACTGGCAGGAGACCCACCACCAAACACACAGCACCTACCACTGGCAGGAGACCCACCACCAAACACACAGCACCTACCACTGGCATGAGACCCACCACCAAACACACAGCACCTACCACTGGCAGGAGACCCACCACCAAACACACAGCACCTACCACTGGCAGGAGACCCACCACCAAACACACAGCACCTACCACTGGCAGGAGACCCACCACCAAACACACAGCACCTACCACTGGGTTCAGGCAATCCGCAGCAGCATGTATAAACATATGTTTGTATCCATATGACTTATGTCTTGATTCCCACCCATTGGTTTTCTCTGCATAACTAAATAAACATTGAACTTTTAAAAATGATCTCTTCATAGAGAGATACTGGGGCACCCACCTCTTGAAAGTATCATCTAGATCTCCTTTATCACTGATGTCCTCCTCGTAGCCGTCAATGAGAGAGCTCTCTCTGAGCTGCTGTGCCAGGCCGACAATGAACTGATGAGGGTTTAGGCTGGCATGTGTGTGAGCTTGACAGAAGTGGTATGCCAAGACCCTGGTGCTCAATTGTGAGCAGTGCCCGGCCGCTGAAGAAGGCCATATGATCTCTTTACAAAGAGCAGTCTTTCCAGCTCCTGCAGCCCCAGTAATGAGAATGCCAGAGGTCCGAGTTCCTCCAAGCCCTTCTAGGTAGTGCTGCAGCTTCTGAAGCGCCCATTCCCGACAATAAAATGCTCGCCTACGTAGTGGATTGTGGGTCATGTCAGTAGGAATAGTGGGTGAAATGCCACAAGTGACAGGGGCATCCCCAAGGCAGTATATTGCATGCGAGCACAAAGTAAAAGGTCTCAAAAGAAGGCAGGATGTGTTGGTCGTATGTTGGGAGTTGCGCACAGTCCAAGTGGTTCAGAGCAATGATAGGATAAAAGTCAGCAAATTGCTCATTACAAAGGATTGCAGAAGAAAGTGAGGATGAGGGGCGACAGAAGACTTTGGTGTCTTAATAAGGATAGCAGTATGACCTGGTGGAAACATAAAGAAAATATATTAAGCAAAATATTAATAAAACAAACATGATTACAGAACAGTTGAGAATGTCAGTGATACCCAGCAGGACTCCATGGTAATGATCCCACCTCACACGGTTACTGATTAGATATATTCTGTGTGCTGCTATCAGAACTTGAAATATAGTGAAAGTGAAGGGAGGAGGTTTGTAAAACATAAAACATTTCTTGAAACGTGGACACAAAGGTGTGGTGTACCCTCAAATAGCAACAGTAACCACATTGAAAAATGGGGGAGAGATTGTGTGGAACTATATGGTTGAAGCAGTAATGAGATAAAAAAACTGTTCCATTATATAACCTAAATCCCACTGCTTCTGTTGGCAGATATCATTGAAAGAAATAGCCGGAATATAAATAATCCTAAGTAAATATTGCTCTTAATGTCTCATATAAATGGTGGTTGATAATCAGTTAATCAACTCACATTCTACTGAGGGAATCAACTCACATTCTACTGAGGGAATCAACTCACATTCTACTGAGGGAATCAACTCACATTCTACTGAGGGAATCAACTCACATTCTACTGAGGGAATCAA